ATAACCACTAGATGGCAGCGTGAGACCACTAATGGGCTCATTAAATGCACTGAAACAGTCCTGTTAATAGGTTAGCTTATGGATTCATGCTAAGACATTATAAAATCACTGTTATAACATTTAAAATCACATTGAGTCAAAGTTTACCATTTTGTTCATACAGACATATCAGTTTTTACAATAATGCCAGATTATGATTACAGTGAAACCTGAAAATGACATATACACTCTTAAAAAGAGAAGACTTGCAATAAGTTTTGTTTCACCTATCATTTATTTCAAATATCTATATATACAACAAAATGTGTGTGCATGTATGTCTGTGTATGTGTCTGTGTCTCTGTGTGTTTAAGTATGCTTATTGAGTATTAATAAACTAGTTTAATCATATCAGTGTGTGTGTGTGTGTGTGTGTGTGTGTGTGTGTGTCTGTGAGCATATTCTCCATTTTGGATGTGTTTTACTGTCAGCCATGCATCCAGGTTGGCCTAGACCCTAAAATAGACCACCTTAAATGCCTTTATGTGCTTGAACCCCGGTAATTGCTGCTTGCAGCTATATTTTATTTTTGTTACTTCAATTCCATTGTGATTTTAAAGGGATAGTTCACCCAAAAATGAAAATTACCCCATGGTTTACTCACCCTTAAGCCATCCTATGTGTTTATGACTTAATCGGAGTATAACTGAAAGAAGAAAGTCATATACACCTAGGATGGCTTGAGGGTGTGTAAATGGGGTAATTTTCATCTTTGGGTGAACTATCCTTTTAAGGAATTGATAAGGTTCTTTGGTCTCCAGTCATTAAAATAAATAGCATACACACATCATGTAACAAACCTTTCTTGTAGAGAGAATGCATTTCACATACACAAATATCAGTTTTTTACATAATGAGAATTAAGTGTGCATGAAGCATTGAAATATTTGCCTTGCGGGAACAGCTTTATGTACACATACAGAAACAAACAAGCAATCTGTAATTAGCCATTAACAGGTCTTGTATCCTCTCTTTTCTCTCTCTCCTTCTGTTCCCACATCCTTCTTCAGTTTTTCTCCTCTCCAGTCCTCTCTCGTCTTTTCTCTTTCAGCCTGGTTGTGGCTTGTCTCTTCTTGTTCTCTTTGCCTAGTGTCTACAGTGTCTGTTCCACTCACCTCTCAATCTTTCATTATCACTAGTTTCACATCAGCTATGTTCATCCTCTCCCCCTTCTCTCATCCAGAAATGTAACCTTTGGTCTCTCTAGATTGATTCCCTTGTCTAATTGCAGACCGGCAGCTGTCTATTTGGCCTAACACATCCACAAGCTGTCTGTAATATCATAATATTTTACTCAGATTGTTTGTTTTTGTCATCAATTCACACACTGTGTTCAGTTCTAGTTTATGTTTTATGGTCACCATGACGATGAGCTATATCCACTGATCCAGTAAAGACTGCTAGTACATCTTCCACTGCTTCAATAAGAAGAAATAGGATGATACATTTTTCCACCTTGCTAGACTGCAGATTTATAAAAAGTATTTACATCTGCTCTGCAAATGATCAACCATTGTGTTTTCATTTGACTACAGTTATTTACACCTATATGAACCATTGATTCAGAGTACTTTCCATAGATAGGGTACACGTTGTCTCGTTACTTTTTATAGCATTAAGGCCTGGTCACAACAGGAAAACTATTCGGTGCAATAAACATTTTAATTTGAATGAATGGCTGTTAATACGTCTGTGACGACCAGTGGTGTCCAAACCTATTTCTAGAGGATAACTGACCCGTAGAGTTTAGCACCAACCCTAATTAAACACACCTAAACCAGCTAATCAAGGTCTTCAGAATCACTGGCTGTGTATGAAATTGCTCCCTATACCCTAAAGCCCAAAGTATACTTCGTTTTTGTATGCGTGCGCTAGCGTATGCGTACAGTCGAACGTGTAGCCTTTCAAAGTATGCTCCATTTGATGTTTTGCGTGAACGCGGGCAGTCGACACGTGCTTTTGAAAGCTTCATCCATGTCTAGTGTCTGCTCTATTTTTCCCCATAATTTATGACCGATAACAATTTTTTTTTAACTATCCCATTCCCTCTCGCTCAGAAGCGCTTGTCAATGTGGCCATCTGTTGTTGCAGTCTCTGCTATTTTGTTGTTGTTGTTCTGACTCCTTTCTCTTCCATTTCATTTTCTATTGTAAAACAACGCCCTGGGACAGTGTTGCCATCTTGTGGAACAACTGATTACTGCAAAACAAATTCAATGCGCATGTGCGACCTGTGGGTAAGGAATTTTACTGCCTGCTGCTGTTTGGGTCTCCTTGTGGGCTTGTAGCAGTTTGAAAGCTGTAGCAAAATTTGTCCGATTTTGTTTGTTTGTTGTTTTTATGGGGTGACTGCAGGTGAAACTGTCATCTTCAGAGAACTTCCAATACACAGGAAAGTGGAAAAATGCCCATGCCCAGAAGCTGTCCAATTACCGTATTACTGATTTTGTGTTGTCGTCTTACATTCGTGCATTTTCATAGGAGTGGGAAAACTTTCATTAGTCATTAATTTACCTAATTCTCACCTCCTGGTAAGATCAAATATCCCTTGAATCTGCTATGTGTCAGATGTAAGAAGGAAGGAAATTTAAAGTAGATATTGGTGAAGTTTTCTCGGGACAGACCAGCAATGAGTTTCAATGTTGCAGTGAGATTCTAGGGGGTTTCTAGGAATAATGGCCGATGTGGCTAGATGCAGCTGTGTCACTTCAGACTTAATGGGTTGGAGATCCTGAATCTCTTTTTTAATTATTATAAAACGTTATATTGCGAAATTTGATTACAAAGAGATGCATGTGTCGCTTTACCATAAGGGTCCAGGTAGTTAGCAGAATGATACAGGTAATGTTCGGGAATTAGGATTGACAGTATTTGGGCATGTATATGGATTTGTTTATGGTTCATTTTAAGATATATTCACAAAAACACCTTTGTGTCAGCACCTTACATGCTAGTGTGTCTTCCAATCATTCGAGTTATAAATCAGACATATAAAACTGGCACCCAAGGCAGTGGATTGTTCATTATTTTTAGCCCGTCTCCATCTTTTGCTCTTGCCTTGCTCTTTTGCTGGTCTTAATTTGCTGCCACGGCCCACGATAGCTGACAGTGAGGGGGAGTGGTATTGTAGAATGAGTATAAGTATCCTGCAGCGTGACGGACAGATTAGATGAGATGTTTAGTGGTTTCTTGTGGGCTGGCTTTTTATGGTTTGTAAGGAGTATCTTGAGTATCTTATTTATTCCGTTTTAAAGGAGGTTTCTCTTCTAGTGTTTTTTTCCCTCTTTTGTTCTTTGTTGTAGCAGATGAAGGATGTAGTAGCTGGAGTCATGTTGAGTCATATGCACTGATGAGACACACCTGTGTTACCATGTGCCCTCTGCCCTCTCTTCTCCCTCACCAGAGATCTTTTTGCTATACCACTGGATTTCTGTTACCCTTTAGTTATGTAAATATTTTAATCCTTTATACCTTTATTATAATATTTGACTCCTTATTCAGCTAGTGCTCTCTCTACTTGTCAAGGTCTGTGTCATATCCCTGTTTCAACAATTCTCTTTCTCCTCATCCATAATCAAGGACATTTTTAGTATCTTCATACAATTTATCTTCTTTCACCATTTGTTTTTTCTCCGTTCTACCTTTTGCTCTACATGGATGCACATCACTGACCTTGGTAATGACTACATTCCTACCCCAGATAAAGAGCTTTCTGTGTATGTGTGTGTGTACATGTGCAAACACAATTGCAAACAGTACTCAAGAGTATTAAAATGTAAACACTGAACGAACACAAACCGCAATGACCGTCTGAGCCAATGGCATATTGAGAATATCAGGTCAAAAAAATGCTAAAGTGTTGCATCTGCACAATTCTTCAATATAGCATCTCACTGGGGCATCTCAAGACATGCTGTTCAAAGATTTAAACATAAGAACTATGCACTTATGATGTAAGTTTCTTTGGATACAGCAAGATCTAATCATAAAACGCCAAACACATCCGTCAAGCACATATGTACAAAATAGCCTCTAAATTCACTTGATAAAAGTGCTGAATTAATACATATAATGTATAACTGTATTTTCATTTACAGGTCCTTCCACTGTAGCACTGGATCTAAAAGTGTGTGTCTGCTCATGCGTATATATGAGGAATAAATCTTTGTGGAAAAAGCTCTCTCTGCAATGGCTCAGAGGCTGTCAAATGTAGTGACAGTAGTGACAGACCTGATGTTAGCTGTGTTGACATGGCAGTCTGCCTCTAAGCAGTGAGAGACAGCAACAGCAGATCTCCTGTCAGGTTTCCAGGTTTCCCTGTCTCCATTCAGCTTCTCAGCAGCAATATGATGTTGGTTATCTACTGGAATTACAATGCCAATAATTCACTAATTCCCCTATCTGTCTATCTGTCTGTCTGTCTGTCTTTCCATCTTAAAAAATACTTTTATTCAGCAAGGAGGTATCAAATAGAGCACAAGTGAGCGTAAAGACTTACATTGTTACAATCTATTAAAAAAAAAGCGCTGATTTATATATATAAATGAGGTGTTGTATGTGTGTGTATAACCTCAAGACTTTTTAAAACCTTCAAATAACACAATGCTAAACCATCAGTCAAAGTTTTACTTTACAAACATTATTATTATTATTATTATTTTTAAATTGCACTCATTTTAGTTATATACATTTTTTACAATATAAATCACGTTTGATTTCTACTTCCTTAAACAGAAACTCAAATGGTACTTAAGCATTCTGTTCACTACCTCAGGTCAGAAATTGATTTGGAACTTTATTCTCAGTTCAATTCTCAGTCACTACATTGGTCCACCAGCTAGACCAGCACCAAACCTGCATTACCCAGCACAAAGCAGCCTTACATGTAAAGTTCTCATTAACTGTAGATGGAACAAAATCTAACTGTCTTCTGTACTATGTCTTGTCTTGTTCTGTCTGCAGTTACAGAGAAGGAAGTTCAGCAGTGGTAAGTGTGCTCTTTATGTCCTCTCTCTGTACCCATCCCTCTCCCTCTCTCTCTCTTACCTTTCCTCATCATGACTTTACCTGAGAGATAAACTGTAATCGATCGAATCTGTACAATAATGTTATTACCCAAATGTTTAAATGATGTAACTTTCCATCCTTCTCCATTCCCACTAATCCTAATGCACAGTATTGTATTCTTGGCCATATACTGAGTGTGTGGTTCATGGGTAGGAAATGCTGCAGAAAGCATCTGCTTTAGTATATGAGTATGAATTCATGTGGTTGTGGTTTCATTGTAAAAAAAATTTAATGCGTGGTTGTGGTTTCATTTTTGTAGCCATCAAGTAAAAAAGAATAAAATAAGATATTTATACTTTAAAAACGATTTAAAGTTGTTGTTAAAAGTGTGAATTATTAATTCATTAATTTATTTCGTAAATCTCATTATGTTTTGGCTTCACACCACATGACATTTTAAAACCTGAAGTAATTTTTGCCATTTGCAGCACTATGTAACTTTTGGCGCTCTAGCGGTTAATAAACAGAACTGCACACATCCCGCGGAAGAACATTCCAACCGGAGCTACTTCTCTAAGTTTATGTCTATGGCGATTCACGCAGGTATGTGTTACTCCGCAGCGGTGACGACCCGACCAGGCTACAATAGTCCAAATATAAGTACTTATTATAAGTGTATCGTAGTGATTCGGAATAAGACAAAAACGCGGTTTGGAAGATGAATTCATAATGTACTCGCTCATTATATACATTTTGCAAATTTTGAACACAGAAAAAGTTACATAGTGCTGCTTTAAAGGTCAACTTATCTGATATTTTAAAATACTTTTTAATTATATTAATTTTCAGTGCATTTTTAAAAAAATATTAAAAGATAGGGCACAAAAAAAGGCACACGTAATTGACCCATGGAAAACTTTCTGACAGCAAACACCTCTCTTCTTTACCACACTGACTGACTCATCTTGGGAATGTCTGCCACCAAGGGAGGGGATGATGTTTTACTAAAGGGCCACATCATTGTAGATATTCAGTGCTTCTTCAGAGCACAGATTTTGGCTGTGTTGAATCATCGTGCCTCTCTCTTTGTCTCTCATTCTCTCTCTCCCTCCTCTGTTCTCCATAAATTCTTCACATTCTATGCCCCTCATGGCAGATGGGGAATGCTTGACTCTAGGCAGGGTGCCCAGTAGGGAAAGAGAGAAGGATGAAGAGAGAAAGAGAGTGAAAGAGCAAGAAAAGAAGACAAAAATGATGGAACAAAGAAGAGCGACTGACAATCCAAATAAAAAAAACGGAGGCAGTCAAATACAGTACTCAGAGGATAGGGAAGAAAGTTTTCTGCTTTTATAACATTTACAAAGTCTTGTGTGACTGTTCAGAAAACCTTGTATTTTATATGGTTATCTCTTAGAGCAAGCCAATAAACACCCTACCTTTACTCCTTGTCTGATTCTTCTACTCAGAGATGATGTACTGCACTATACCTTGTAGATATGGCACCTCACTGGAGTAAAGACAGGCACAACTGTCTTGTGTTGAAAGCGGAGCCCCTTGGAGCTCAGTCTAGCGCTGATCAGATTGCTAAGCAGCAAGCATAGACATGCCTACCAGCCACACACACAAACACATGCGCACACACAGCTCAAGGTGCGCATCACTTTCTTCTGTTTCTCTGATGATAGAAGTCTGTTTGTTGATACCAGAAGTAGACTTGCCTTTGAGCTATCTGTATCGAGTCCTCAGAGGATCGGTAGACAGTGCCTTACAAATGCTTTCAAAGTATTCCTGGGGAAGTGCATCAGATGCATAGAGGAGGAGTGATTTGTCTCTTCACTTGTTTACCAATAGATGCGTTAAAACTGTGTATACACTCTTAAAAATAAAGGTGCTTCACGGTGCCATAGAAGAACCTTTTTGTCTAAATGGTTCCATAAAGAACCTTTAACATCTGAAGAAACTTTCTGTTTCACAAAAGGTTCTTCGTGGCGAAAGAAGGTTCTTCAGATTATAAAAAGGTAAGAAAGAGATGGTTCTTTAAAGAACCTTTTACTGAATGGTTCTTTGTGGAACCAACAATGGTTCTTCTATGGCATCGCTTGAAGAACCTTTTGAAGCACCTTTATTTTTAAGAGTGTAGGAGCTGAAAGTCTTAAATTAGCTGCATTGTTGATTACATCGCTGCATAGTTGCAGTGTTGGTTGATGTCTTCCCGATTACATTAGAAAAAGATCTTTGAATCTAGGTAAGTTATAATGTACAGTTAGTCACCTTGAAGACATTTATTTTACAATAATGACTGACTAACTGCTCATTATACCACTTATTATGTGGCTAGCAAGTAAATCAGTGTGCATTAAATAGAGATTTAAGTTTAGATTATTGTCATGTAGAAAGAAAGAGAGCATTGAGCAATTTAAGAGACGTGATAAGAGCATTGCGTAAGAGATTGGTTGCTGGGGCAGTGGTCAAGTATAAAGTTTAGAGGTCAGTATATGGAAAAAAAAAAAAAACCAATTAGAACTGTTCAATAAACATAATTTAAGCAATTTTGTCTCTGAAACATTTTTGTGAACAATATATGATAGTAGTATATGACAAATGATAGCATACATTCCCAAAAAGTGTCCATCTGAAGAACAAGTTAAAATGTTTGTCCTGATAACAGCTATTTAGTTTTGATTATTTAAAGCAGTCAAGTTACTTATTAAATTGTGCTGCACATATGGTCATGTCAGTATTCTGTCATCAAGCTACTGTAAATTAGCATAATGTGAAAAATCTTTCTCTTTGCACAGCAAGCCCCTCTGAGGAGGTAATGAATGATTGGCTAATATAGTGCTTTATAACTGCAACATATGCTGGAGAATGTAATATTGATTGTGAGGGCCATTTTACAATGACTAAATTCTATATATTTACAGAAAATTGTCTTTTCAGTATGTGTCAGTGTTTTTAATGAGCTTCTTTTTCCCCCATGCTAGAAGTATTCAATATTTCATAGTTCAGTTCACACACCTTGCAACTAGCAATTTGGGCCACAAAAACTGAGAGTGATTCCTAGAATGAGGTCTGAAATGCAGAATCTAAACTGACATGCCTGGAAATGAATTTGCAATTGAAGACTGACGTGCCCTGTAATATCCTGGCCAACCATTTCGCCCTTTGCCCCAAATTGCTCGGAAATGATCTGCAATGATAGTCCTCAAGTTCGTCAGGGATCAATTAGCATAGAGAAAACAAACAGCGCTGAAGTGTTGTTTCTGAAAATGACTGGATAGAGTGACAGAGGTTTAATTTATATTGAAATACCCTGACCACATGTTCTGTAACACTGCTAGCAGTGCATTTGGGTGCTAACAGTTGGTGCCAGACTCTTTATCTTCACAGGGGGTTATGTACTGGAGGAAAAATGTTTTCATAATTTTCCCCACTTTCCTTTCTACTGTCAATTTACACATTTCTTTTCCACCAGTGTTCAGAGGTTTGGTGTCATTAAGTACTTTTGAAAGATGTTGCACACCACATCTGCATTTATTTAATCAAAAAATAATAATAAACTGTGAAATGTAATTAGAATTTCAAATTTGTATATATTTTATATATGCATTTTTGTTTGTGTGTGTGTGAAGGCAAAGCTGAATTTCCAAGAGCCATTACTCCCGTCTTCAGTGTGTACCACGATCCAGCATAAACCATTTTAATATGTTGATTTGGTGTTCAAGAAACATTTTTAAAAATCATTATTACAGTTGAAAATTGTTAAAAATTTTACTTTTTTTACACAAATGTAATGCATCCTTGCTGAATAAATGTATAAATTTCTTTACTGACCGCAGACTTTTGAATAATAGTGTAAATTTGTGTGTTCTTCTATAATCTTCTATGTTTAAATCTGATTCTTTTCAGAACTTCAATTTTTTAAATGCAAAAGTCTCTCTTTTCTTCAATTCTGCTCCCTCACTCCTATCTTGTTGGATTTTTCCTGTTTGTGTGGCAGGTATAAGGGTTTTATCAAAGACTGCCCCAGTGGTCAGTTGGACGCAGCTGGCTTTCAGAAGATCTACAAGCAGTTCTTCCCCTTCGGTGATCCCACCAAATTTGCCACTTTTGTCTTCAACGTCTTTGACGAAAACAAGGTAACAAGAGGCTAAAAATAGGGAGAAGTCAATAAAAGAAAAGCACTGTTACATTAACCTACTGGGTCTTTTTAAAGTGGCAGTTTACCAAGAAATGTTTTGATTTATCATCTTTGGCTTTGGCTGAATAGCAAAATGTGTAAACACTTTCATCTACTCAGCGACAGGGACATTATGTCTTTCCATTTTATTTTTAGAAATGCAGCTTCAACAGATTTGCAGAATTTCCTTTTTTTTTTTTTTTGGTAGAACAATTTGCTGTCAGACATTGCCGGTCTGATGCCCCTGTAGACTATTCTCAGATGCTTCTAGATTCTCAGTGGGACTGTCTGCTACAGTCACATCTTTAGACACACTTCCAAATCACTGTCAAAATGACATTTTCAATATGTTAAACCTTCTGTGAGGTGGTATTGAACACAGGTAAGATAACATCTTTCCCTGCTGCTGTCTGCAGGTTTTTGCTGTGTCACTCTGCAGTTGTTTGCCCTCTTTGGTGTCTCTTTCATCTCAGTCTGATGTGAGGCTGTAACAAAGCAGTATAAAATCAACCCTTTTTGTCACTCCTTTAGATTCCTTTGTACACTTTACCCATCAGTTCTCATGCTGTCTTTCTGTTGTGTATCCGCAGGATGGACGCATTGAGTTCTCAGAGTTTATTCAAGCTCTGTCTGTCACATCCAGAGGGACACTGGATGAAAAACTCAGATGTAAGACCAGAATTCCTTTATATATCTCATAATATTAGCAGTACATCAAATGTTTCTTGTTTGTGCAGCAGAGATGTGTTCATTTATCTGTCTCAGGAAGTGACATTTCAGAGTCTTATAGTAAAACAGATCTTACCCACACTGAATGTGCTACTAAATGATCTGAACAAGTCTGCCAAGTCTGTCAAAATAAACAGTAGAATAGTCTATATCCTCAGCTCATTTGAAGATACTGCAGAGAGAGACATTTCTTAATGTGCTTGCTTGTTATTGCTGTCACAGGGGCCTTTAAACTTTACGATCTTGATAATGATGGCTTCATAACCCGAGATGAGATGCTGAACATTGTGGACGGCATCTACCAGATGGTGGTGAGTCATTTGCTTCTCACTGAACCATAACTTTCTATTTCTATTGAGTTAATGAAAGAGCTTTCTTGGAAGGCCAACATGGTGTTTATTGTAAGCCTAAACTCTAATAATTGATTATGAAGGTCTGTCAAATTGATAAAGAGACTGCAGTGAATATCTTTACAAACACTGGCTTCCAGGAAGCTTAATAGCATTGGGTGCCTTTTTTATTACACAAGATATTTTCTTGCTGCTCTGATCATATACAATTGGCAAAGAGGCCCCATTCACCTGTGTGGTGAAAGTTATGAAAGTTACCCATTAATTCTATGAGAACAACAACAAGACATTTTCAGTAGATTTAGCTTTTTGTGAAAGTAAAAACATATTTTTTGTGCACCTCCATTTTCTGTCATCCAAATACATGTATATATGTGACCAGTCTTAAGTCGCTGGGGTATATTTGTAACAATAGCCAAAAATACATTGTATGGGTCAAAATTATCGATTTTGATTTATGCCAAAAATCATTAGGATATTAAGTAAAGATCATGATCCATGAAGATATTTTGTAAATTTCCTACCGTAAATATATCAAAACATAATTTTTGATTAGTAATATGCATTGCTAAGGACTTCATTTGGACAACTTTAAAGGCGATTTTCTCAGTATTTAGATTTTCTTGTAGCCTCAGATTCCAGATTTTCAAATGGTTGTATCTCAGCCAAATATTGTCCTATCCTAACAAACCATACATCAATGGAAAGCTTATTTATTCCGCTTTCAGATTATGTATAAATCTCAATTTAAAAAAACTGACACTTAATTAGTGTTTTATCCTGGTTACCTGGTTTTGTGGTCCAGGGTCACATATGTTTAACTAGTATATAAAATAAGAAACACATGAGGAATCTTACATATTGAACATCTTACATATTGTGCATCTCTGCAGCAGAATATTTTAAATATGTTAAGAGTATGGGGAAAAGGGTAACTTTACAGTGAGGTTTTTCACAAGAACTAATAATAAAAATACATGTAAAGCGTTAATCTTGCAAATTTTTTATAGACATTAAAATTGTTGTGTTAGATAACTTTAGTTACTGTTTAACTGAATTAACTTTAATTAATGCTAAGCAGTAGTATTTTCATAAATTAACTTTAAATAAATAAAACATGATTGTTCTTTGTTATTCATGATACCAAATACATTATACATTAAATTAACATATAGAAACTTACTGTAAAGTTCCATTTACATACAGCAGAACACTTATTACTATTGTGTTTTGCCCTTGGATGCTATTGAATGAACATAATTCACCATATTTTCTATATTCACCGTATCGCTTACAGTGATTAATATTTTTCCCTTAAGTTCAACTTGATACACGCAGTCAGCTGAACTGCTTGTATTCATTGCAGTCTTTTGTTTGTTTCTTTGTTTTTTTTTTCTTTTTGCTCAATTGGCTGTTACAAAAACGTGTTTGGTTTTATCTGAAGTGCAAAAATATAAAAATAACAACATTTATCTTTATTTTCCATACAGAAATAAAATTTCTGGCATCCAGGATTTGTTTTACCCCATGATAGGCTATAAACACAGATGATTTGTTTCCGACTGTGGTTGTTTCTTATCCTGCTATCAAAAGTCGGGAGTATAGGTATGTCCTAATAATTTATGCCTGATTTATATCTTGCAGGGGAACACAGTGGAGTTACCTGAGGAGGAAAACACACCAGAGAAGCGAGTCGACCGCATCTTTGCTATGATGGATAAGGTGAATTCTGTGTATTTATTTGCTGTGTACTTATTGTCTTCTGCTTTTTCATTCTTCTCATACACATTACTTGCAGAAATGGTTGACTGTATAAAAATAAATATGGAAAATGTACTGCATTTATAGTGAATTGCAATAACTCTGAGAATTTTTAGTCATCAACAACAATTCAATCCCATGACTTCCTACGACTGAATATTCATAGCTGTAGGTTCAATACCAATGGCTTAGTTATTTCTGCTGTGATTAAAACACAGAAGGCACGCCACATGAAAGACGCAAAATAGAAGCTCTGTTGCACTGCATCTATAGAGTACCTCGGAAAGCTTTGATAAAAGAGCCTTTGAAAGGACTGAGCTCTAAAGAGAAAGAAGAGTCTTTCTACTTGATTCCTGTATATCTTCCACCACAAACTGTATGCACTTAATACGATTATGTGTGAAAACAGTGACATGACTTATGACTAACTGTCTTCCTTTTGTCAACAGAATGCAGATGGGATGTTGACTCTGCAGGAGTTTCAGGAGGGCTCCAAGGCAGACCCCTCTATTGTTCAGGCACTCTCCCTTTATGACGGCCTGGTGTAAGCCCATCTCAAAGTGGCATTCAGTGAGTCCCATTTCCCATTTTCCCAAATGCTGATAACAGCAATGTTCCAGCCTGCTGACTACAGTGAATATTATAAATGCACACATCAGTGTTATTGTTATTTATTATTTTGGGTTAGCTTTTATTTTTATCTTTTCAGTTTTCATTTTAGTTTAGGTTTTGTGCTTTTGTAACATTTTTTTATATATTTCTATATAGCTATGATTCATTTTTGTTTCAGTTTTAGTAATTTTAGTACTTCAACCTAATCTTATTTATTTCAGTTAGTTGCTAATGCAGCATTTTAAAGTTTTTTCAGTTGAAGTTTTTCATCTAATACTAATATTTTATTTTATTTTAGCTTTATTTCAAGTACCTAAAAGAATTGTTAATAGTTTTAGTTTTAGCTAAACAGAACAACACTCGGGACACATCTTTACAATTCTTTACAATACTTTTAACATTAGTCCTTGACAGTTGATGGTAATTACCACAATTCATTATTCATTCACCCAGTCAGTTTAAATTTAAAGTTTCTGTTTTTCATTCCTATCTATACACTAGGTAATCAATATAGCCCATTTATGTCATCCTGCTGGCACTGTGAGAGGAAAGCTGACTTGTCACCAATCTCTTGGACCTGCCAACATGAAGGTTTATTGTGGGTGCTGCTCTCAAGAGGGGATCAGCTGTCAATCACTCATCTCCACTGTCACTGGAAAACCAAAATCCGCTCAAGACAACGTAAATCCTTGCAGAACTCATTTGGGATGAGTGATGTACAGTAAAGGAACCTTTTTGTAAAGAAGAAGAGACACTCATATAGACAGTGACTGAGGGCATCCACATCAGTGTTATTAAATGTATAACTCAAATATTCTAAACACCAATGAATGAGTTCCTTATAGCTGTGGGCATTGTCATAGGATGGACCTAGCTGGATTTTGGTCTATCCATCATTACACGATGAACGAAGATGCAGTTGCACCGTTCCACAGAGCTTCAGCAAGCACTGGCATTGAACAACATGCATTTAGTTGTATTTATTTATATAACCTTTCTATGTAAATTAGCAATCTTCAACAATAAACAAAAACCTATAAATCTCCTTATAAATCTCATGCTTATTCTTGAGACTTGACAGTTAACTTCTGACAGCCATGATGTATTATACTTAGACTGTAACTACTCACATGCCACTGCTTTGCTTGACCCATAGGCAGTCTCACAGTACACCTTGTGATGAAGAATGCAAATATTCTACAGTATTGCATATTGCTGTCATGACGATGTGGGCGTATATGTGGTACAGTCAACAGTCTCAGACAGCTATTGTGTTGCACCTCTGACTTGTTTGAAAGAATGAGATTCATTTTGTGCCAATAGCATATATCGCATTCATCAGCACTGCAGATGCCCACAGTGTTTGAAGTTCTGCACAATGTTGGTGTATTTAGATTACTGATAATGTTAAAATTGCGCTGCTTTGAAATCAGCCCCTTTTTTTAAGCCCAACATACAAGGTATATCTGCTCTCCACTTGCAAATGCACTGCTGAGTTTGTCTTAATGTCACAGAAACACTGCAGTAGATGAAATATTGTGGTTATGGGGTAATGTTAATGAAATGTTAATGGGGTCTCTTTAAATAAAAATGTTTTTTATGAAAAAAATGTCTTGGGGTCTGTTTAGGCATAGCTCTAAAAGAAGCAGTTTCACCTGAATATTGCATGTTCTAGCTAATAATCACCACCTTTTGCTCTAAAAGAACAGATAATATCTTATTTGTATGTAGAAACAGAATCAACACTGGTATTATCAAACCAAAGAAAATACATTTTCGGTTGGAAACAACATATTTTAAGAGCTAATTTTGCAGTCAGTCAAATTTCTGTATTATTATTCAGTAAGGGCTCATGAATATATCGTGCCTGATGGCTTCAAACATTTATCTCCACACTCCACCCTTCAATAGAAATGGTGTAATGGACGTGCAGTGTGAAAAGATTCCAGGCTAAAAGGACCAAAAATGGAGATGGAAATGTTCAAGCTGGCAGACAGAACCTCACTGCTTGCATAACATAATGGAACACTTTTCATTGTTCAATAATCAGTTAAACCAACCAGATTTTACTCATGGAAAATATTAGTCTCATGAATAATAATGTAAGCTGGTACAGACAATGAAAGGCACCAGAAAAGAGAAAATTAATTATGCCTTTTCACATTTATCTGACTGCTTCTATACTGTTATACATGGCATATGTATTAAATCTGTAGTGTTACAGATCTGTAGTGATCAAGATCTCATACTTAACACGTGATATTAAATACATGCTGTGGATATTGTTACTAAACATCTTATCATGACTTAGTGCAAACCAGTTACGGCTCGTCGGGGGAGGCACAGCTTCCTCATAATTTTGAGGTGAAAATGGAAGGAGGACGATTTAATGTTAATAAAATTCACAATTCATTTCAGTTCATGTCTCAGAATGTGTATTTTTTGTTTGTAATTTCACATTTGTAATAAAATAACGTGAAAGCGTCGCTTTTCTATCGCGAATGTGCCGAATCTGCTGATGTAATTACAACCGCTAAAAACACAACGACAAATCAGACAAACCGGAAGAGGTAGGTATAGTTTGAGACAGCGCCATTGGTTTGGGATTACTCACCGCTGACTGGACGAGACATCTGTCAATCAAGGTATACAGGAAGAACCAGCCGAAGAACAGCAGAGTCGTGGTAGAAAGTTCGGAGATGGTATTAAAGTAGCTCAGTTTAAATGTATTGTATGAATTGCCCTTACTATGGAATAAAAAATACTGAGTGTTTATTATATTACATTTTATAAAAACTTTTTTATAAAAAAGTTTATAAAAATTATTTTAACGATGATTTACACATTGAAATAGCAACATCTGTCATAAAAAGCTAAATATGTTATCTTTAGTGTGTATGGAAACAATTGACATCTTAGGTTAGTGTCTACATTTTACATGGCATAGAGAAAACCATGAAATCCCCTGTTTTGTATATTATTTTTTAATATAAGTATTTACAAAACTGCACAAAATAAAAAAAAAACTATTAAAATATATTACATTTTTATAGAAATTAAAAAAGAAAAATGTATATAATGAACGTTATTGTAACGTATTGTAAGGACATATTGTAAGGACATTTTGTAAGAAAAAAAAACATAAAAAATAAACATATTCCAGATTAAAATCTTAATGACTTCATGCAATTTTGTTGACCTTTTTATATGTATTACAGACTCTGATTGTTAAAATTAAAATTCACAGGGGTTGATTTACATTTTTTTTTTTTTTTTTAATTTTGGAGAGTCAAAAGTGCCCCTAGTTGCAGAAACACCCATCTACACTTTCTTGCTATCTGGGCTCAGCCACCTCACCTGACAGCCCATCAATTTTAATGGGCTGCTTGGGCTCAGATACCCTCAGCCGTTGGAATGTAGGGTCACCTCGCTTCTGTCATGTCATGCCTCGGTGGACATGTTGTTAACAGCAGGTGGTAGGTATCAGTATGGCAGGGTGGGACTGTTTCGTGTTTACATGCAGCAGAGACACTATCTCTGTTCAACAGATGCACAGTCATTCTGAATACTTACACCTCCATGAACCTTGTTTTTCTAAACATATATCTAAAATATCTTATCTGCTTTCAGGCTATGATCCAAACAAATCTGGCCTCACTGATATTCTTGGGTTAGAACTTTTGAAGATGCTACCATATGTACCACGGGGTTTAATGTCTTAATTTATTTTCATAATTTATTAATATTGCTTTTAGGGCTGCCACTAACGACTATTTTTATTTTGATTAATCTATCGACTAATTTGTCGATTAATCTAAACGATTCATTTCCCACCAAAAAAATCATCAATTTTAAAGAACATTTTATTAAACTTGCAACTTTGCCATTCAGTAGTGTACCATAAAAAAGTATAAACGTAAACAAGCCATTGGCGAAATGTAAAACTAAAAGAGTAAAAATGTAAACAAACCTAATAAAAATGAAATAAAAAGAAAATAATTACAAAAGTCTGAATTTTAAGTATTAAAAGTACTCTTATAAATGTGTAAACAAAAGATTTAAACAGACATCTCCAGCATGATGAAAAAAATGAACAGAGGACTTCAGTAGTGAAACTCCAAATGAAATCCAAATTTCTGGTTTGAGCTTTTATTTTGAAACCGCGAGATGATGTAGATTATTCTCCTGTGTTTGCCTGGATTTATAAATTATTTACCTTACACATCTGATGAAATGGCGCACGTTGCGTTCCCAGATGAACGTTATAATAAACCCAAAAGCACAAAAACATGCACAGATGGAGTTTGAGCCGCTCCACACATGTAAATGATAACGGAGCCGCTGTGAGACGCACGTACGTAACCTACACGCTTATAACGGCATCACATATAATTATTTAATTAAATCGTAGTGTTTGTGAATTCACAGTTATGATTAATTATGATTTTTAAACGGGTTTAATATATCATGAGGCATTGGAAAACAGTCTAATAATGTGTTTTATGGATTCTCGTCCGTGAAATGCACCTCATCCGGTATTTTGTCGGTTAGTCGACGCAGGCAAAATGAAGTCGAGGATTTTAAAAAATCGAATAGCCGAATAGAATCGACGAATCGCGACAGCCCTAATTACTTTGTTCTTTATGTTTTCTGTACATATGCTTCTTACATAATAAGATTGTTATATTCAAACCATCCAGAAAAATTTATATCACGTTTTCCACAAAAATATTAAGCAGTACAACTGATGTCAGCAGCATTGATTATAAGTAATTATTTCTGACACTGAAAATTCATGCTGAAAATTTAGCTTTGCCATTGCAAGAATTATTTAAATTTTTAATATTAAATTCTTAAACAGTTATTTTATAATAATAATTTACAATATTACTGTTTTACTGTATTTTTGATCAAATAAGAGAGAATAACAGACTATGTTTAAACGCGCTAAAAAAATCTTACCGACTCCAAATGTAATATTAGTCGTTTTTAGATGGTCCTCACTGCAGAACACAAGATACAGGGGGCGTGGTTGGATCCAGATCCAACTCCTCCCACCTTACATATACCTAAACCGACCTGTCTCCACCCCCTGATCCCTAAACCCTCCCATCTCCACCCCTAAACCTACCAATCTCTACCCCCTAGATGTGGATCCAACCACGGCCCCTGGATCTTGTGTTCTGCAGTGAGGGGCTACTGGGTTTTTGACAAGCGGCAACCTCCCGCTCTCTCTTGTGAAGCCAACAAGGAAGTGACTTAAACTGTAATTCATCGACTGGCCGCTAGAGGCTGTCTGCAAAAGGGAGTCAATCCCATAGACTCCCCATGTTAAAATGCCCAACTTTACAGCAGAAAAAAACATGTTTACAGCCTGGTTCAAAAAATGATTTTGGTCTATATAGCTAATTTTGCCCTTCATGACAACTGTGAGGGGGTGTGAATTTTTTTATAACTCATCCGTTTAAATTATATTAAGCCTTAAAGTTCTGCATAATTAAGGGTGTGGCCACTTGAATGACAGGGTGGATTACCGCTGCTGTCACCACCGGGGAGCTAGGTGGGCGTGGCTTCAGCAACCTGCTCCCGCCTCTTTGCCCGTTTTCGATTATCCGGGAGTGACGCGCTGCCAAGATGGCGACGGCCGGCTCCGCCTACTTTTGAGATTCACAAACGCTCTTCGGAAATCTACGGGTGACGTCACGGACACTACGTCCACGTTTTTATACAGTCTATGGTTTTTGACTGGACGTCAGTTTGTTGGCAAAGTGTACCCCCTGTTGACCATCAAACAACTTGCGCCACATAAACACGTTTGTGTGACTTCTAACTAAACGAATAAAACATTTAAGCTACAACATCATATGGGGTTCATGCATAATGACTCACAGCATTTTGCATGCGATATTAAATGAATGCATGTTTTGAAAAAGTGACAGGCGGCGGACACTCCCCCTGACTTCCTCCCGCTTGTGTCAAATTGCTCGTCCCGCAACTTCCTGTCGCTGTAATTCCTCATTGCTAACGGAGGCTCTCTATCTTAGCCTAGCAAGCTAACTCCACAAACAGAAAAGAACAACAATACATGTACTTGAAATTAACGTATGATATTACGTTTTTGAATAATACAGCCGTTAAAATGTGAACGAATAGA